GAGTAACAAAAAATGTCTGAGATGAATCGCAGACCTTTTTTTACATTTCACACCATCATTCGACCCAGTGATGAAGCAGAAACACCGACGCAGCTCTAAAGTGATGGATGACCGCTCGTGCTTCCGTCAGGAGCTTAATGAAAATATCTGACTTTGTGCCAGCACATACGGCCACTCTGCACCTGCTTTAAAGCGGTGCCTGAAGTCACTGAGAGCAGCTGGCTGAGGTTTCATCTCCAACAAAGACCTGCCAGATGGCCACCTCTCTATACTGAAGAGTCTGGTAGAGTTACAAAACATCCAAGTCCTTTAGTGCACACTGTCCAAAAACACCCCACTCTGCTTAATATGGTCATTATTTAACCACCCAAGTGTAAAAGGCAGTCAGTGCATCGTTGCAGAGGCGCAGGGTCGCTCCTTTGTTCATTAAGCCATTCAGAAAATGTGTTTTTCTGCAGCGCTGTTGAAAAAGTTGTTTTCCATTATTCTGACATTACCCCTACATTATTCATGATTATGATGTTAGTGAACCACCGCACTAATTAATTAGAGTTGGGTATACATTAGGGTCCTCAATGATAAAGCTGCTATTTTAGCATGTGACATACACTCGCCTGCCACTTCTTTAGGAACACCTTTCTAGCACCAGGTTGGATCTTTCGCCTTCAGACGTCCTTTAATTATTCACGGCACAGATTCAACAAGGTGCTGGAAACATTGCTCAGAGACTTTCGGTTCATGATAGCATCACAAAGCTGCTGCAGATTTGTTGGCTGCACATTCATAATACATTCAGATACAATGTATCTGAATGTCACAGCAGAAATCGAAACTCAGAACAGACCAAGCGGCGCTTTTTTAATTTTAGTGAGCCTGTGCAAAATTAGTAGGCTGGAGTGGGACCCAGTGTGGTCCTCTGCTGCTGTAGCTCATCTGCTTCAAGGTTTAAAGCACGATGTGTTCAGAGATGCTCTTCTGCTTGACTTGATTGTGACAAGTGGTTATTTGAGTTACCGTTGCCCACCTATCACATTCAGGCGGTCAGGCCATTTTCCTTTGCGCTCTGATATCAACAAAGCATTTTCACCCAGAGAACTGCTGCTCACTTCACGGATTCTTTGTAAACCCTACAGTTGGTAGTCGAGGAAAAGTAGAGCAGTAGATCAGCAGCTTCTGAAGTACTCAGACCAGCCCACCTGGGTCAAAGTCACCATGCCTAAATGCATCACACTGAAGTGGCCAGGAAGTTTATACTTCTACAGGACACATAACTAGTACGCTGACTCAAAAAAATTAATTAAAAAAAACAAAACAAGAAAAATGTTTTAATCTGAGGAAACTGATAAGATTAATCCCTCAAATACCACACAGAATATCACAGAATAGGAGCCATGAATCATGCATGAGCTGCAGGTTGTGGTGACTGAGGTGTACTGTCAGTAATCATGGAGGACTTTCCTTTAATCATGAAAAATTCAAGCAACTTATCATGAAATTGACTTTTTACTTACTGGGGAAAATTCTAATTATTTTGGTCAATATTCAGATCATTGATAGACTTGATTAAATCAAAATTTTAATAAACTCTTTAAAAAGTGTTCCTTTATAAGTAGACGTCTTTGTATGTTAATTAGAATTTAACTTATTTAAAAAATTAAACTGAACTAAGTCTGTCACAGCTTGGTAGAATTTGGGAAAAAAGGGTTGCAGTGAAAGATAAAACGGGAGCGCCTCAGTGAAGCGAAATGTGGCGCGGTAATAGTTTTGTAATTGTTTTAATGATCACTGGAGGCCAAAATTGTAATTGAAAATAAAATTAGATTAATTCCACAGCCCTGCTTCACTTTAAAACAGGCTTTGAACAGACTTTTGATATAATGATGCATCTCTCACCTCATAAACCTGCCACACCTCTTAGCAACAGACTCACGTTACACCACAGCACATAATCTGTTAATGTATTGATTAGACCAGATGGAAAAGATGTTCTTACAGAGAAAACACCCGGAGCGCTTCTTAGAAAGATGAAAATAACACTGTTATGTTGAGATGAAATAGTTCCACGAGTGCAGGAAACATGTTAAAGTTGCTAAAACCTTTGGCTAGCATGCAGTGCAAAGGTACAGAAAACTGTTCCCTGGTGTAAATGTGGTTTACTGATGCAAGTATGTCGGCAAACAGCCAGTGTACTTAAGATGATGTATACTTGGAGTAAGTAGCAGGAGCAGTGCCGCCTACGCTATTCCCACCGGCCTGTCTGCCTGACATATTCACATATCGTGAATGCTTTTGGATAATAATGATCTTTGAGCAAGGTCTGACCAAACCGAGTGATTCATATAATCCTTGACAGCGAAACTGTGGTGCTTTTACCACCTCTGAGGAGTCCAGTTCTTACTGCATTTCTGCAGGTCAGGAAACCAGAAACAGACACAAAGCAACTTTTCCCCTCTGTGTGTGTGGTTTTTTAAAATCACAGGAGTCTGAATGAGCTGAGGGTGTTACTCCTGGAATCACATCGTCATTCCCGGGATATGGACAAAGACCTGAGCCGAGAGGTCCACAAGGCTGAGTGGAAGGTCAAGGAGCAGAAACTTCAGGATGACATCAAGACGCTGCGAGAAAAACTGCTTTTACTGGTGAGAACAAAGCACCGTGGAATGATTGGACAACACTAAACCACATGTCGATCCCACATTTTGAGGATTTTCTTTTTCGTTATTTAAATTAATGTTAAAAAATGTTGAAAACTAAGTTTAGAAATACAGGAGAATCAGCACCTTGATAAGCCTGGCCTATGATTTGTGTGATTATACATTTGTTTTCACAGGTTCATTGGTCCCAACTATGAAGCACACATTTCTTTTAGCATATGAAATATAAACATTGGTTGAAATTAAGATAACCTGGATGATAATTTACTGACAATAAACTCGCTGGTTTCTAGTTTTCTAATAAAGAATTTTATCAGTGTATACAGTGTGAACTAGGGCTGTTCGATATGACAGCAACAACGATGGTAAAACCATTGTGTGGCTCCGCTTGTTTATTTTCCACATAAACCTTTCACAATAAAGCTGAAGATCCTGTTGAGGTTTTTCAAAATAAACTGAAATGACGACAAACGACATTATTCTGAAACCTCAAATTTCAGAATATGCAACAAACAAATTACCTCAAATGAATACAAGTAGTAACTATAAATGGCGTTTACAGTCACCACGAGGATGCAGGCACAGAGAATACCAGCATGGCCAGTGAAGATCAGGCAGAATCAGGTAGTTCCAAACAGAAAGACCAGTCAAAACAAATCCTTAGCCCTAAACGAGGGGCTACCTCTGTAGCATGGACATGGTTTCGTTATGAAAATTC